CAAAATTTTTTTTGCTGGGGGCGGCAAAAAAACCTAGAGCCGTCCCTGTTTCCCAGCCCTGAAGCAGAGCTCCGTGTGGCTTGAAAGCATGTCTCTCCTCAACAGAAGTTGGTTGGATAAAAGCTATTACCTTACTGCTCTGGGACTGACAGAACTACACTGCATGCTACAAGCAAGAATGTCTATCATTTGAAAAAAGACAAGATCGTTTAAAAAATAAAAAACACTTTTTTTTTAAATTTACTGTTACCACACCTAAAGTTACTAGAATTGAAAGATTAGAGTAACATTTCTCTAATCTTTCAGTGTGTTCACTTTCTCCACTGGATGACACTGTGGGCCGTCATTTTTTACTGTTGCCCCTATTTGTGTGGGCTTTCAAACAACCACAAAGAATTTTTTTTAAACTATAAAAATTGGAAGGGCAACTCCTGATTATTTTTCCTCGGGGATCTCTCAAAAGCCTGCTACCCCATCCCACTGTAAAATGGAAAGGATCTACCTCCTTGGACTAGGTGCCCAACAGATACATTGTAAGTACCTCAGCTGGAGAATGCTATTTACCTGTAGACTCAAAGTCAGGTGTTTTATATTTGACTGACCAGTCAATTGGCTCAGGCCTCTTGACAATTACTCCTTCCATTTTCAGAATATTGCACATTTCTTCAATTTCAGCAATAGCCTTTTTTAAGTGATCTCTGGGGAAGCTCTGTCCTCCAAACTTCTGATAGAATTCCCAGTTCTTTTCATATGTGTTGGCCTGAAAATAAAAGACGACAGAGAAGTGGCCATAATAACACTGTGATATTTGGTTATACTTTATACCAGGGGTGAACAAATTTTTTGGCCCGAGGGCCACATTGGGGTTGCAAAACTGTATGGAGGGCTGGGTAGGGAAGGCTGTGCCTCCCCAAACAGCTTGGCCCCCGCCCACTATCTGACCCCTCCCACTTCCTGCCCCCTGACTGCCCCCCTCAGAACCCCTGACCCATCCACACACCCCCTCTCCTTGTCTCCTAACCGCTCCCTCCCGGGACTCCTTGTCCCCTAACCGTCCCTGGGACCCCACCCCCTATCCAACCCCTCCTGCTCCCAGTCCCCTCACTGCTCTGACCCCTATCCACACCCCCACCCCCTAACAGGCCCCCCGGGACTCCCACGCTTATTCAACCCCCCCGTCCCCCGACCACCCCCGCAGAACCTCTGCCCCATCCAACCACCCCGTCCCCTGACTGTCCCCCGGGATCCCTCGCCCCTTATCCAACCCCCCGGCCCCTTTACCACGCTGCTCAGAGCAGCATGTCTGGCAGCCGCGCCGCCCGGCCAGAGCCAGACACGCTGCCATGCTGCTGGCGGGAGCGCTCAACCCCACCACCCATAGCGCTACCCGCGCGGTGGCATGGCTGCAGGGGAGGGGGGCAGCAGAAGAGGCGCCAGGGGCTAGCCTCTCCGGCCGGGAGCTCAAGGGCTGGGCAGGATGGTCCCGCGGACCAGATGTGGTCTGTGGGTCATAGTTTGCCCACCTCTGCTTTATACAGTGCAGTTGATTGTGGTATTTACACATTACTGTTCTTGTGAAAGGTTTCTCAACCTTGTTCCTCTATTGACTCCACATTCGCCAACTCGTATCCCTCATCTGTGCCTCAAAATGCTTTGCAGCTATTTCTGCAATACTTCAGAGGAGGCACAGAAATAATTGTCAGTGGTTTACAGGATCCTCTAGCATCTAGGGACTCGAGACAAGGGAATAGGAGAAGGCTCATGACTGCAGATAATGCCACTAGGGCAAGCGTTGGCAGCGCTTAAGACGTGTATAATATTTTAAATACTATTCGTGTGTACAATTGATGTGGTTTGTGCATCTATGTACTATGGCCTGCCATTTGCACACGTCAGTTCTTGAAAAGCATGTGTGCTTCAGCAAAGACCACTTTTTGGCAATCTGCCTCTGAATGGTCAGTGAGGTGCGTGGCTCAGCCAACAGTTACATCTGTGTCTGGAGTTAAATTTCAGTAGTACATATTGAGAAGGTTCAGACATCCAGAAGATAAATAGCTCCAACACCAGTTACAGTCTGCATGTACCGTCTGCTGCCAAGATTGAGAGATCTACAAATAGCAGAAAGAGACCTGAGAATAAGAGTGGCCTGGAATGTGACAAGAGCACAAATTTCTTCACAACCTGCAAGTTCAGCGTTTATCTTTCAGAGAGAATTTTCGAGCTATTTCATCCATTCATCTTACAGCTCTTTATACAGATGTGTCCGCGCCATGTGACCTTATTACTTGTCGCCATAAAAGGAGACCAGTAATCTAAGTAGAGAAATACTTCCCTCTACTCAGAAAGCATTCCCCTCAGAGTGACCTCCAGAGCCAGCAGTCTAAGCAATTGCTTAGGGCCCGAGCAGCTCAAGGGACCCACTACTTCACTACTTGCTTTTTATGATAAGAACTTGCCTATTTTGGGGCGGGGGGGGGGGACGCAAAAATATTCAGCACCGCACTGCCCAACCTCACTGGTTGTCCTGACTAAAGCCAGATACCAAAGAATAAATAACTCCATCTGTATGTTATGGCAATCTGAGTTCAGTCCTGATGCTTTCATCCACACCATCTGTTACCATTTTTCATTTTATAAACATCTCTCAACCACATGTCTGAAATCTAAGATTCTCTCAGAGTAGGGGCACCAAGACTGAGGGTTTTGAAAAAATATTCACTTCACTGAAAGAAAGAACATCGTACTGGGGTTCACTTTTCTTTCACATATGCAAACACGTGTGTTTGCCACAGATAGGGGCACTCTGTACAGGTGCAAAAACCAAAGAACTGATTTGAAAAGCTGTAGTGGCAGTTGTGTGTTTGACCAAAGACTCGAACCCTACGTGAGTGCAAAACAAAGTGACTAAGAGCAGACATCCTTCTAAATTGCTTTTTTATGATTACTTAACATTTATTCTCCAGCATTGCCCAAATGCCCATGCCAAGACAGGGGCCTCATTATGTTAGACACTGTGCCAACACACAAGACATGAAACTCCACCTTGATGAGTTTACAGTTTAAGAAGGCCCAACAGACAAACAGTCATACAATGACCTGGAGGGGAAATGTCAGTAGTACAGGTTTTGTTACTTGTTCAACTGACTTACTGTGCTCCCCTCTACCCTGTTCACCCCACAGAAATTTTTACTTTAAATTTTCTTTTATTCCATTCAGCCACCCCATCAGATAGTCTCTCACTTCAATACTGAGTGTTATAGACTAGTTCTGTTGGTGTTGGGGATTCCAAAAGCATCCTGAGGGCTGATAGTCGGCTCCTCCAGTGGGGCAGAAGGGGATTTATGCCCATACTTTGGGGAAAGAAAACTGTTCTGGAGGGGGAAGAAGCAGAAGGTTAATTCACTTCCACTTGTCAGACCCAGATTAAGACAGACACTATAGCCATGTGCCTGGAGCCCCTGAGTCTGTGATGATTTTGAAGTCTCTCAGCTTTCATTTTAGAAGGATTGTGTTCCTAGCCCTCATGATGGTGAAGAAAAGCTAGAAAACATGACCAGAGGATCACTGGTGCAGTGGTGTCTGTGTCAGTCTGCAGACAGCCTGAAACAACAGCTATGAGGGGTGTGAACTGCCCTATTGATCTAACAAGGCTGTTAACTCTGAAACCCACTGCTTGGAGAGGATTCTGCCTATGCAGTAAGGGACTGTATGTATGGGGCCCTCACAGCTGCCAATCCGTTGTGGCTCTTCTGGGGTACATCTACACTACAGGGGGGAGTCGATTTAAGATACGCAAATTCAGCTACATGAATAGCGTAGCTGAATTCGACGTAACGCAGCCGACTTACCCCGCTGTGAGGACGGCGGCAAAATCTACTTCTGCGGCTTTCTGTCGACGGCGCTTACTCCCACCTCCGCTGGTGGAGTAAGAGCGTCGATTCGGGGATCGATTGTCGCGTCCCAACGGGACGCGATAAATCGATCCCCGAGAGGTCGATTTCTACCCGCCGATTCGGGCGGGTAGTGTAGACCTAGCTGGAGTGGTGTCAGGAGAGGTCACGCAGAGAGGAGTAGGTGGGAGCTGGGACCTCGCTCCTCTGCACGAGGCTCCAGCTCCCCTGCACACAGGGAACAATGTTCATGGGATACAGGAGCTCCAGTCTACCTGAACAGGAATGACAGTGAGCCCACCCTCCTCAACAGTCCCTACCACTGCCTCCCCCAAGGAGCAGCAGGGCCACAGCGGGCGGGGTACAGACTTGAGATGGGGCTGTGACCACACTGCGGGGAATAGGCAATGGTGCCCATTGGAGGCTTGCCAGACTGACTTTAGCCAAGAACGCTCTGCCTGCCTACTTACTCCTGCAATGGACCTATGGCAGTGAAGGAAAAATCCAGCCACTCACAAGGAAGTGTTAAAATTGTATGTGTCCAAACACACCACCCAATTCCTGGGTACAGAAGGGACAGAGGCCTCTGCAGGGCCACTCTGCCCACTGGTTCAAGCAGCTCCTCTTGCTTCCTTTTGTGAGCAAAGCTATTTTCTTTTCCAGGCAAGGTCTGGGTAATCTGATCACCTCTCAGGCTTTACCACCTGTTCAGAAGACACGTGTTGATCATGTGAAGTGCTCAGCATTCCAATGGAATCCAGTTCAGTTAACAAGACAAGTTTGTCATACGGAATACATGCAAGTTATTTCCAGAGCCACCAAGAATATCTCTGGGCACAATGAAGACTAGCCCCTTGCCCCTTTTCCCCTGCTATACATTCGGTCTCACTCTGTTTCCCTCTCTCCTCTTCCCGTGCCAAGAAATAACAGAACAGATCTATGATCGTGGATCACCACACTGATAGCATAATCTGGTTGCAAAACTGGCTTAACCAGCCTAGGAAAGATCACCCTAGTGGAAAGATGATCCTGCAGTGACACACACACCATCCCTGCTCTCAGCATACCTGGGGAAAATGGTGCATGGCAGGGATGTCCCTATACCACAGGGACTCTGGGCTGAGATTTCAGTCTCCTATGAAAACTTAGAGCAGTCTGAGGGCTGCTCTGATTGCACAGGGAGAACAGCCAGCAGGACAGCACCAGAATCAGAGACGAGCAAAGAGCTTTACATGCATCCGACAAAGTGGGCATTCACCCATGAAAGCTTATGCTCCAATACATGTTAGTCTTAAAGGTGCCACAGGACTCTCTGTTGCTTTTTTCAAAGAGCTTTCGACAGTCTTTGCATACCACCCCCTGACTTGTGCTCTGTGCGTTCTGTTGTACCTGAGAAATTGACCAAGTGCTTTTAGAATGTTTAGGTGCACTTTGCACACTTCTGCATAGTCCTCTGCCTTCTCCCAAAGCTGGCCACAACACTGAGTCCTCTGATACCATCAGGCACTGCCTGTTCTAGGGATGGGTGATCAGGGCACCAGCTTCCAGAGAATGCCATCACACCACTGTGCTTTTTCTCCCTCTGCTCTGATTGGCCAGCCATTTTTTCCTCAGCTCTGATTGGCCAGCTTCCCCCCTTCCCTCCCCAGCCTCCTTCCTTCTTCCTCCTCCACTAATTGGCCAGCTGAGTGTGGGTTTTGGGAGGCAGGGTGGGTTGGTTCACCTACTAGGTGGCGGGGGCCCACAAACACATTTTCTGCTCTAGTCAGCAAGCAACACAGCTAGAGCCACTCCTGCCTTCCAGTCCAGTCAGACATTGTTTCCTGTGAGCTACACTGATCTTTATGCTTCCCACGATACAGCCCAAGAAGCAAGAAGTATGGTTCACAGGCAGGACAATCTTAATAACCATATCAGAGGAACCTGAATAGCTTCTGCCTCCTGAGCTCCTCTGCATCTTCCCTCTTTCACACTCACCCTGGTACTGACAAAGGGTTCACTATTGGACACAACGCATCCCATGAAGTTTTGAATCTTATCCTTCCTGGGAGACTGCGGCCATCTTAAGCACATAGGACCCAGGATTCTGCCTTCCATCAGCAGCCTTGCCTGTTTAAATTTCCCTTCCCTGCTACCAAGTTTGAAATGGAAGAGTAATACTTATGCTAACCATATTACAAGACAAGTGACATGCAGATGAAGCAGCTATACCTTCTTACTTCTGGCTACCTACATATAAGCTAGGATACTTCAATAGAGCCTGAAAGAGTCACTGCTATAATGTTAAAAATGTTCCTTATTGTAGTTTACCAAAATTCTATTAAACTGCCCTATATTTTCTTCACACTGTCGGAACCTGTTTGAAGAGAAGCTCTATCCTTTCTAAGCATCTTGCTCCTACCAGATTTAGTGCTGTCAGGGCCAACATTTGACATCACTTCCTGTGTAGCAAACTGTGGTTTCTAAACGTGGTATTGTGACCTCGCTAATGACTCCAGCTGGAGAAATTTATATTTACTTACTTACCTGATAAGCAGGGGCGGCTCTAGCTTTTTTGCCGCCCCAAGCACGGCAGGCAGGCTGCCTTCAGGAGGTCCCCGGTCCCGCGGATTCGGCGGCATGCCTGCGGGAGGTCCTGCGGCTTCGGCGTACCCGCCGCTGAATCTGCGGGACCGGCGAACCTCCCACAGGCATGCCACCGAAGGCAGCCTGACTGCCGCCCTTGCAGGGACCAGCAGGGCGCCCCCTGTGGCTTGCCGCCTCAGGCACACGCTTGGAGTGCTGGTGCCTGGAGCCACCGCTGCTGCTAAGCAATAAACAGGGAAGTACATTACTGGTGAAAGTCTATTTTAAATATTCATATTGAGTAAAAAAAGGAATATAATTTGATACGTTTACATCAAATACATAACTAGATATGAAAGGTAATGTTATATGTTCCAGTTATATGTTCAAACTAGCAATGAAGATTGGAGAGAGAGACAGAGACAGACATTCCATAAAGAGGAAAGAGACTCATGTCAAAATAATGCAGAAGCTTGTTAATACAATATTTTATAATTAGCACAAAGTGAAATCTTTCTTCTCTACTTAATAAAGATATATCAGAGAGCTGTAACAAGGCCTCTTTACTAAGAATTCATTTTTTTCACAAAATATACCACAAAATATTTACTAGCATATGCTGAAGTACAAAATACTTGTATAGTTCAAATATTAGTTTAAGACTGAATTACCACACACCACCACATTCAGGATGTGAGGGGGTTTTCTTTTTTTTAAATTCACAAAGGATCTCCCTGTCATTAGTGTGAATTAGCAAATCTGTCGGATTACACTTCTAACACTATCCCAAATGTGGCACTGATGCTTATGGAGATCCTTCCACATGCTTTATACCACCCAGATGCTCATTCAGTGCCAACTCTAATTATATTCATCTCAGACATGTAGTGGTACCATGCTTCTATTCATTCTTTCCTCCTTCTTATGCCATGCACATCATTTACAGATTACAGCCAAAAGACTGGCGTGAGTGCCAAAAGCAAGTCTCACGAATTGCAATAGGATACAGTGACTGCAGCCATGGTTTACTGCACAACTATTTCAAATAAGTAGTTTGCATGAATATTTGAGACACAATATATCATCAGCTGAACTGCAGTGAGGAAAGAGAAACTATAGAAGCAAAATACATGTGCGTAAATGTGTCTTACATGGAGTTCTGTATTCGCTCACTAGACGTGTTCCAGATACGCTTGCAGTTTTCCCAAGTGGGTTATTGTCTTCCCTTTGCAGAGTAGTCTTATTACACTATACTGTAAATTTATTGAAGGTAGCAGTGTTATGAAAGTTGCCTATGTTCTATGAGGACTTGTTTAAATACACGGAACTATGAGGCTTTTCAGAATATCAGGCCAATGAATGCTTCCAACAACATACAGTATGTACGTCTGCACTTCCTCCAGAGAATTTAGTACTTTAACCAAAGATGTGACATTTTTGAGTTAAGGGTGAAATTCTATACTTGACATACCTCACTGTGCTATAGATATTTCAGCTGACACAGGGAGCAAATTGTTAACTAAAACTAAATGCTCAAGCAAACACTAGAACTGGGTTAAAATGTAGTAGTAACAATAGCACGTTTTTAATATTTACCAGCCTTAGAAATACAGTAGTTTTAAAGAAGTTAAGGGGATTTGGCAAGTGTTGAGAGGGTAGAATTTTGCCCATAATATCAGAAGTCAGCAACAAAACTTTTCTTTGTGCCCTTTTTCTTTTACATTATAAATAGCATGTTCTGATTTCCTTCTTTTCCTGGAAGACTGGTAATCTTTTGGAGAGCCAGAAATGGGATATCGAAGCTGAAGAGCTGGAAGCTGCTGTGGATGAAATCCAAGCCCCATTCAAGCCAATGGCAACATTTCCATTAACCAGTCAGTGGTGCCAGGGTTTTACCCCAAGCGTCTAAATGATAGGAGACAGGGGCAGCGAATGAATCTTATGTTTGGAGGTGGGGGAGGAGCATTCTTTACAATTCTCCTGAAACCTGATGATCTAATCTCTAAACTCCATTTCTGGAAGATTAAAAACCTTTTCATTCCACTTTTAAAATAAGTAAGTGAGCAGAAATCCTGTTAGAAATTTGGCATCTGCAGTAGTTTAATTCTTCTTTTAAAAACATTTCAGTTCATTTGTAATTAATAGAAGATTTTAAACATATACACCAAAAAATAAGTTGAAATAAAGCACCTGAAAATAGAACTAAATTTGAGAGCCAGGGGTTGGATCAGGTTTGTTCTGCAACCTTAATTCAAAATACACTTGGAAAACAGACGGTTCCATACATTGTTGTATCTACTGTCTGGGATTTCCAGTGATGAGCTTTCTATTCAAATAAAACAATCCTCCTAACTTGCAGCTAGAACTTTATACTCTGTCTCAAAGCCTAGAGTGTCAGTGGCCAGATTGGCTAGGACTATAAGCCATGCACTCAGCCAGAAGGAGCAGAAGGCAGATGCACCTGCCCAGAAGAATCTTCTTCCTCTATGCTTTCCTCTGGCCTAATTTATACTGCAGAAACTACCTTACTAATTCTACTAGGGAATATGTCAGAACAGAAGTAGGATCAAAACCCAAACCAATACAGCCACAATACTGAAAAATACTGAACTTTTATGTACACAGTTCTGGATGCTGCCGGAATCCTTATCACATGGCTGTTTTGAAGACAGTACATATAACTCCAGTATGATGCCCTGACTAGTCCAGAATCAGGAAGTAAATGAGAACCTAATTACACTGGGTTATGGTAACAAGCAAGTGGCAATACAGGTGTTTATGCTTAGCACATGCCTTTGGCCAAAGAGCAAATGAGGGTTATTGGTAGAAGAGAAGAAAAAGGTAGCTTTCGAACTTTCTACAACCTTAGTTCATTTCCAGATTGTGCACAAGAGACTTGAATAATGCACATAATAATCAAGCTAATAACTATCACAATTTTTATCAACTCTAGAATTTGAGTTAAAAAATATGTAGTCATTCTAGTAGCAGCACTTTGGTTAAACATTGGTATTAAGGTATTTTGAACTCTACTTTTAAACTTATTTTTGTAAACTCTCTATGTATTCATGTACCTGCAAACTAAAAGAAATTTTATACGTAAAAAGGCATTTGTTTTTTTCAAGATAAGAATTTTACCTTAACCTCCACAGAAAAAGGAGGGACACAGGCATTTTCAGCTCTCCCCACAATTACTTCCTCCAGGGGGTCCCATTCATTGTATGAGCTGACAGGGCAGTCCTCTGGAACAGGGGCAGTGGCCTTATTGTCATCAACAGCACAGGAATTCTGGGAGGCAGCAGCTGCCTGGGTGCTCTGGAAAGTTCGCTGCACCCATCCTGTAAAGGATCTTCCAAGCTTAAAGGGGGAGGGAGAGGGAAAAAAAATAAACTCTAACACACAACTCTATCACAAAAAGAAGAGGAGAATTAAGTCCCAGTGTATTTTACAGAATATTTTCACTGCACTGTGCTTTACCCAAAAGGCTTTTTACACCATAAAGGCTCTGTATTACAGCTACTCCACTGTAATCTTAAAGGACATTTCACCTTTAAAGAAAAAAACACCCATGTTAGACAATGGTTAACTGTTTAATGGTCCAGCTTCAACAGTTACAGCTAATTTGGTTCATAAAGGCAGGAATAGGACTGATGAATGGGGCAAAGTTACCTTTGCAACAGCTGCTATAGTGCCTGTTTCACTAATTGGGATTGTATGTGCACTGCAAAACTGGGGACGACTGGGAATGTAAAGTACTGGGATTTGGGCACAATACAAATAAGGCTTTTCAAAGCTGCAAGTGAAATTGTAGCAAATTAAGCATATTCCATTAATTGTGTTAGTGCCACATCAAAACGTGGACTATTGTAGCTAGAAAACAGAAAGCAACATTTATAATCTGAAAAACTAGTTCCCCACCCTCCAAAGATTTACATAGCAACGCCAGTCACATTAGCCTGGACCCTGCATACTAAAATTTAGCTAGCACTAATACCTGGCTCTCCTAGATTCCCACTGCCTCTCCCCCACAGTCACAGTGCTCTAAGCAATTCCCTAGCCACCTAAACCCCACTAGTTGAACTAGTCCCTTGGATGGATTCCCAGAGCCCCAGCTGTTCACTTACCAGCTGCTGGGAAACACTAGCCAGCCAGTCAGACTATTCCTGCCATAGCAAACACACCGAGTGTGGCAGAGCCTGCCGGGGGCTGCTAATGTTCACACATACCCCATTACAGGGCGGGGGGTGTGGGTGGCTGCTGGATCAGCACAACCCCTCCTCCCTCCTCAGCCCAAGGCACCTTGCAGGGTGGGAATCGGGCTCCCAGCTCCATCGGGCGACAGGGTCATTGCCTTGCTGCTGGTTAAGCCAGGCTGCTCCAAACCAGGTTAGCTCAGTGTAAGGCTCTGGTCCAGGGGGTCTTCTCTCTCTAACCCGAGTAGCTCAGCCCCTGCAGGCAGTGAATGGAAACAGGGCTCTCTGCTCAAGGACCGGGAGACCCAGTGATAACCAGGGGGGCTCCGCCCGACTCCTAAGGGGGGGAAGGAGGCTTCCTCCCAACCAGAGGGATGCGGCTGGTCTAAGAACCATGAACCGGCTGGGTTCAAGGGGAGCGCTCACTGCTCCTATTATGCGTACCACGCTAGCGCCCCCAATAGCCTGCCCAGAGCCCCCTTCTGCACCCCCCCAATAGCCCCAGGACAGCTCCATAACCCCTAGTGCATCCTTCTGCACCCCTACCAGAGTCCACAAAGTTTCCCCTTCTGCACCACCAATAACCCCCAGAGCGTCCCCAGTAACCCCCAGTGCCCCCTTCCGCACCCCAATAACCCCCAGAACACCCCCAGTAACCTCTAGTGCCCTCTTCTGGACCCCCACCACAGCCCACAAAGTGCCCCCTCTACACCCCAATAACCCCAAAATGCCCCCTTCTGCACCCCCAATAACCCCTAGAGCGCCCCCAGTAACCCCTTAGTGCCCCCTTCTGCACCCCCCTAAAAGCCCACAGGACCCCCAATAATCCCATAGTGCCTCCTTCTACACCCCCCCCCAATAACCTCCACCTATCTCTAGGGCAGCGCTCCCATAGCACCCAGTCTCCGCACACAGCCCACCCAGGGAGCCGCCTCTGCATCCCCAGCTCACACCCTGCACCGCGGTCCCCGGGCTCCGCACTGCAGCAAGGGTGGGCGGGCTCGGTACCCACCTGGGACCCGATGTAATGCGCCGCCTCGGCCCCCCTGCTCCCTCCGCGCAGGCACCGCACTCGCAGCATCGCTCCGGAGCTGGCAGCAGGAACGACCCCAGCACTTGCGCAGCACCCAGCGAGGGACCGAGCCGCTCCCCCCCGGCCTTTATATCAGCTCCCCCAGCCCCCCGCCTCCCGCTCCCTCCCTATTGGCTGCCGCAGGGCCGGCGGGCAGAGCGGCCCCCGGCTCCTTCCCTTTGTGCAGCCGGGCTGCAGAGGGGGAGCAGAATTAACCGGGGAGAGGAGGGTGCAGAAGTGGCCGTTCTAACCTTCCCTGCCAGTCCCAGTGCACATCCCTTTAGCCCAAGCACTAACAGCACCCTCTCCTTAGTCACTAGGGTTTCGGGTGCTTGGTGCTGTCCCAAGATGAAACGCAGCCCCTGTGGTCAATGTTATCCAGCCCCTTTTCAATCCCTATTGTTTCTCTGGATGGTATCTTCCCCACAGCTTGATTGACAATACATTGGTTTGTTTCACTTCAACTAATATGTCCTGGCCAAATATTTTGATGGGGGGGACGAGGAGGGGAAGAAGAGGACCCTCTGGTCTGTTGTCACTCTGCTCCTCTTTGCAATTTCATACACGTTCCATAAGTCTCTCATTCTAGTCTCTACCTGATCAACTAATACCAGTGCTCTTAATTAGAGCTGTCATGGATAATGGAGGATTCTGAGATTTCAATTCTATTTGTTTTTGTTCTAATTAGGAACAAAACCCGAAAAGGCTGTAATACTCTGCAAAAGAAAATTCTGGGGGGAAAAAATACTATTTTGGATTGATCTAAAGTTTTCATTTTGACAACACTGAAACACCGTTTTGATTTCTACTTTACATCATACTATAAACAATACAAAAGTAAATGATTTCAAAACAAAAAGTTGTTTCAAAGGGAAAAATGGAAATGTTTCATTCCAGGAGTGTCAGGAAGTTTTGACACCATTAGAACTTTCTCTGACGGAAACAAAGTTTTGGAAAAATCAACACAATTTCACAAAGCTTTTTGATTTCAACAGAACTGCATTCTCTAACATAGAACTGGTCCCTCAAAGTTTTTCCCTCCAGCTCTCCATTTAGTCTCTTGTCACCTATAATTCTCACCTGACCTGACGACATTCTTTTGCAGTTCCTCACTCTTCAACTTTACACAAGACAAGTTAAATTTTAAATTAATTTGTTTTTGCCTTCCAGAAGAAAAGCTCAGATATGGTAAAAATGGTTTTTCCCCATGTTATTTTGTAAAATTACACCTCTACCCCGATATAACGCAACCCGATATAACATGAATTCAGATATAACCCGGTAAAGCAGTGCTATGGGGGGGAAAGAAGGGGGGCTGCATGCTCCGTGGATCAAAGCAAGTTCGATATAATGCGGTTTCACCTATAATGCAGTAAGATTTTTTAAAACGCAACAGAGGGTCCTGTGGCACCTTTAAGACTAACAGAAGTATTGGGAGCATAAGCTTTCGTGGGTAAGAACCTCACTTCTTCAGATGCAAGTAATGGAAATTTCCAGAGGCAGGTATAAATCAGTATGGAGATAACGAGGTTAATTCAATCAGGGAGGGTGAGGTGCTCTGCTAGCAGTTGAGGTGTGAACACCAAGGGAGGAGAAACTGCTTCTGTAGTTGGATAGCCATTCACAGTCTTTGTTTAATCCTGTTCTGATGGTGTCAAATTTGCAAATGAACTGGAGCTCAGCAGTTTCTCTATGGAGTCTGGTCCTGAAGTTTTTTTGCTGTAATATGGCTACCTTTACATTTGCTATTGCGTGGCCAGGGAGGTTGAAGTGTTCTCCTACAGGTTTTTATATATTGCCATTCCTGATATCTGACTTGTGTCCATTTATGCTTTTCCATAGTGACTATCCAGTTTGGCCAATGTACATAGCAGAGGGGCATTGCTGGCACATGATGGCATATATAACATTGGTGGACATGCAGGTGAATGAGCCGGTGATGTTGTAGCTGATCTGGTTAGGTCCTGTGATGGTGTTGTTGGTGTAGATATGTGGGCAGAGTTGGCATCGAGGTTTGTTGCATGGGTTGGTTCCTGTGTTAGAGTTGTTATGGTGCGGTGTGTGGTTGCTGGTGAGAATATGCTTAAGGTTGGCGGGTTGTCTGTGGGCGAGGACTGGCCTGCCTTCCAAGGTCTGTGAAAGTGAGGGATCATTGTCCAGGATGGGTTGTAGATCACTGATGATGCGTTGGAGAGGTTTAAGCTGAGGACTGTAGGTGATGGCCAGTGGAGTTCTGTTGGTACTGTTGGTAAGATTTTTTGGCTCCCGAGGACAGCGTTATATTGGGGTAGAGGTGTAGTATGAATCTCCATCCTTCTCTCACTCTTAATCCCTTGATGGTGCCTCTTATTTACCTGGGCATGATCTAATACATGTTCCCTCCACTCTATGCCCTCATGTCTCTCCTAAGCCTCATCCACACTATAAAATGTTACCTCGTTGGGACATGGTTATGAAGAAATGAGTTTGCTGATGTGATACTCATAATATTTAGTCCTGCCTTGAGTCCAGGAAACTGGACTAGATGACCTCTCTAGGTCCCTTCCAGTCCTATGATTCTATGATACTGACCATGACCTAGGCCCCAATTCAGCAGAGCACTTAACCACATGAGTAGTCCCTTGAAGTCAATGGCCATGTCAACACTAGAAAAAAAGTAAACTAACATACATTAAAAATACATCTAATATGTTAAAATCCTAGCACAGACAAGTCAGTTGTAGTTTTAGGATGTGCTAGCTCAGGGGTCGGCAACGTTTGGCACGCAGCTCACCAGGGTAAGCACCCTGGCGAGCCGCGTGCACGTTGCCGTCCCCTGTGCTAGCTAATCAAGGTAACATAATTTACCTCCACCAGATAGTGTGTTAAAGCTACAATTTGCCTTGTCAGCACTAGGATTTTAACATCACATCATACCTTTTTCCTAGTGAAGAAAGGGCCAATGGGATTGCTCCCTTCACATATTTTAAGTCCTGTGCTGAACTGGGGCCTTAGTGATCATTATAGACTAAAGCAAATGACATTCAGCTTTGCAACAGCTAAATAAGATTCAATACTGCTTGGACCAAGGTTTAGTCATTTTTAGCTGGCATGACGCTGTCCTTTTGTCCTGCCCTATACCAACTGCTAAACTGCATTCTGCATCCCATCTAATTCTATATCACAATTAATCAATAATCACCTTTTCTCAGGCTCTATCTTTTCTGCTTCCAAAAGGCTATTCTTCCCACTCGCTTCAAAAAATCCTTTTCCTGTTTTTGCTTTCTGTCCCAGTTACCAATCAATTTCCTTTCTCCAGTTCATTTCTAGAATCTGTGTGTTCTCAAGTTTTTAGCTTTTTCATCCTTCCCAATTCAGTCTTTGCTCAGGTCATTTTACTCAGATAGCCCCTTTTAAAGGAATTAATGATTGGCTTGCGGTTAAATCCAAAGGTCTCTTTTCTTTTCATGTCTTTCCTGACTTATCAGCTACTTTGGGAACTTTGGATCACTCTTTATCAACTTGGTATAGGTAGTTTTTCTGACTCAGCACTGCAGTATTTCTTCTCCTACTTACTGTGTTTGTCTTTAATGGAAGACAATCCTGGCCAACTTCTTGAAGTGGGTGCTTTTTTGAATCCTGTACACTTTCCCCTATATACTTTCCTGCTGAGTGACATTTTTCTACTCACCATCTATAGTAATGGCGCTTTCTCTTGCCCATGTCTCAGAATTCTGGCTTGCCTTCACTTCCTCTTGGATGAAAGCTAATCTTAATGTAAGTGTGGCCAAGACAGAAATCTTTTTATTTCCCCTCCTAATTGTCTCTCTTAGGTCCTAACTTTGCAACCTTACATTCACATGGAGGAGCATTTACCTGCAAAAGTAATCCCACTATCCTAAATGACACTACTCATATGAAGAAATATTAAAGATTGCAGAATCGGGCCCTCTTTGGGCCATGCACTTGTGCCTTGATACTTGTAATGCTATCTACACTGTACTCTATTCATATCTCCACAATCTGTCCTTCACTTCACTGGCTTCCAGGACACTTCAAAAATCTCACCCTTCAACTTAATGCTATCACAGGAACCAGTCACTCTTGTATTTCTTTGCTCATACCTCCCTCCAATCCTTCATACCTCCCTCCAACAGACGAGACCCTCATTAGAACATGGGCCTTTATCTAATGTTCCTTAAAGTCAATGGTAATTCTTCTACTGACTTCCAGGGGCATTGGATCAAGCTCATAGTACTCTAGAAGGCCATTCCTCCCAGTATACTCTTATGCACAAGGAAAGATTCTACCTGTTTGTATGATTATACCCTCCTTGCCTCCCCTGCCTCTTGCACAATAAAGGCTTGATCCTACACCCTTGAAGACAATGGAAGTTTTGCCATCTACTCCATTGGGAGTAAGAAAGAGCCCTAACGCACAGGGCCGGCTCCAGGTACCAGCTTGGCAAGCAGGTGCTTGGGGCGGCCACTCCGGAGAGGGGCGGCAGGTCCAGCTATTTGGCGGCAATTCGGCGGACGGTCCCTCACTCCCGCTCGGAGCAAAGGACCTCCCGCCAAATTGCCGCTGCAGATCGCGATCGCAATCGCGATCACGGCTTTTTTTTTTTTTTTTGGCTGCTTGGGGCGGCCAAAACCCTGGAGCCGGTCCTGCTAACACAGCAAAAAGCAGGACTATCCCCATATATAAAACTGGCTTTATAATCACAAAGGTAACTGGAAACTGGATAAGACGGAAGCTCTAGAACTTTTTAATTTTATAAAATTTGGGTGAATCAATTCTATTTACTTTTATGTTCCCTTCAGGTGCCTTAGAGACTGTGTGCTCTTTAGGACAAGAAGCATTCCTTCTTTCTAGGTTGGAAAGTGCCTATTGTGGAAGCTATTATAAATTGGTATTTTTCTAACAACTTCTATAACTATTACTAGGACTTGACAGGTTAATCCCTTTTTCCGCCTCCAAATGCTGGGTCAGTTTGTGAGCTACAGGTGTTGCTCCTTACCTATAATTCTGCAATTTAATCCACAAAGATGTATTGAACTGTTTGCAGGAACAAGTTTCAGATTCTG